TGCTAACTTGTCTGCCCGCTTGCACACAGTCCTCTATATCCTCAGTCCCGATCGGGACTGAGAAGCAGGCGAAGGGAGGAGACACGTCGATGGGATTGTTGATTAATGAGGTACATGCACACAGTTGTTACAATGTGTGTCACGAAATCTGGCGACGCCGGCTGCGAGAACGCCAGTTTGGGTACTAGTTTTTTTCAAACCATAATTCGTTTCTTTTGTATGCAGGCGGGCCGACTAAAGCGGCCAGCCACGATGCCCTCTGAGAGTGATGTTCACGTTCATTACTACGGTCTGCGGGGCCTCAGAAGCAAAAACGCCCGGAAAAACTTGCCTTGGCGTAGACACCCGATGATACTCATGATTCTGGCCCTCTGTCGCGTAGTCTTTCATATCCTACACGAACCCGGTCAAAGCAGCTCGTGCTCTCTGAGGATGCAGGTTTGCGTTGTGACGGTGGGTCCGTGCCACAAGGCTCTGTTTTCCTCGATCGGAAGATTCGTGACATGGTGAGTGTCAGGGAAGCCTCTGCATGATACGCTTAGGCTGTGACTTATTGTGGCTTTTCCGAGTGGCCTTGTTTGTGTCGCTTTGCGTGTAAGTTTTCGCTTCAGTTTCATTTGCTCTAGAACTCAAGGCCTCGGCCCGGGCAAGAGAGACTGAAGGCCCGACCTGGCAGCGTGACATTGTAGGCCATGTAGGAATCCCCCTTCCTTCAGGTGCATTTTTTCGAACACACTTAAAGAATTCAAGAGCAGCTGCTTTCAGACGCAATCTTGTCACCAATGCCCAACACTTGCAATAAACCCGTCTTGCTCTTCACGATGCCGAACTCAATCTCAAGCCTCGGTTCGACTCGGTCTTCGGAACGCAACCACATGCCATGGATCATGGCCCTGGATGTTGCCAATGCACGTGTTACAGAATTTGCTCACGGTTGCGTGTGTCTTGGCTGCCTCTGTAGTGAACACGACCAAGCTGCTTGTCGATTCTCATCCGCAGGCGTTTGCCACCTGTGTTGAGCTCCCATGCTTCCACCTGATTGCCACTCAAAAGGGAGAAGTAGGTGTCTTGCCAGCAATTCTCGCTGATTAGACTTGCAGGATTCAGGCAATCACTGACTTCACTTCGCAAGTGCCATGAAACACGGGCTTGCCTTGATCTCGTTTGGGACGGGCTCGTCCAGGGCATATCCGTCATTTATAATGACCTAACTACATCGGCAGCAAATCTCCTCTGTAATGTAGTCATTATAGAGGCATGTGATGGCACATGAACTGCGCTTGTCAAGCACCTGGCCCACCCAAATCCACGGAATGGATCGAAAAACCTCGCCGCATGACGTGTCGAGTTGGAATCGGCCCAGCGTTCCCTTATGAATACAGTTTGTGGACGTGATGCCACAAAAGATTCAAGCAAGGCTCTTGACGGTGCCAGTGTAGCGGAAGTTCTGTGCACCAACAAACCTGGGAAGGGCACGGCTGATGTGTGCCACATGCGACGATCCCCTGCTGCTGCTGCTGCTGCCCCACTACCACAACGACGACAACGACGACGACTAGCACCACCTATATATTATGCTACCCCACAGAACTCGTTTAAGGAACCAGCAGCACCGTAACACCGCCAACTCAGAGGAGCAACTACGCCAAGAACAGAGGTAACAACTGCAACAGCATCACCAACAACCAGGAAACCACGGGCTACGATGACGACGAAGATGCTGACATATGCTGACGGCGACGACGACGAGGACGGCGACAAGGACGACGATGCTGATCAAGAACATCACGTCCACGACGACAAGCCGGAGGAGGAGGACCAAATCGACAATAACGTCGACGACGGCGGTGGCCCACCAACAAGAAAAACGACTGCAACGTCACAAAGCGAGTCCGACAAGCATGATAATGAATACAAGGTTCGTCATGTTCTCAGCATCCATCGCTGCCTGTCGGCGCAGGGATTTGCGCTGCCCTGTCTCCCTCTGCGTACATACCTTTTTTTGTACAGTTGTGACTGGGGAGAAGGGCTGTGGAACAAACCCATGGCACCGTCCTCTGAGGGGGTGCCATGTGCAGCACTCGGCTGCGATGGTCTCAATTTCACCGCTTTCATGCGTTGATTACACCTCGAACAACAAGCATTGGCACCCAGGAGGCCTGGATGTTGATCATGCCTGCGAGCAGAGAACAAATAAAGATTATCTTGGCAGCTCGAAGAAGCTGGGTAATGAACCTTCCAACAACAATATTACAGCACACGCATGCTCGGTATAGTGTACTACCGTATACTATTATTGCTAGTGTGTTTATTGTTTGATAAGCATGAAGTTGCATTACCATTACTACCTTTGCATATTGGGGCCAAGGCCGCCTCCACCTGGAAGCGTCACGGTCTTGGCCTTCAGTGACCGCACCTTGTTCCACCCCCGCCTTAGAATGCGGCAAAAAGGGCATCAGTAGCACAAGGAGGTGCAGAGCGCTTCCAGTCAAGTCTCCATCCCTGCGATATCACCAAGCCAAACTCCACCCTCAGAAGCAGTCACATCTAAGAAGCCAAGAGGGCGCAAAGAAGGGAGCAGCACGTCCGGCCCTTTCACTGCAACCGAAGAGCTGCAGTCCTTGCTGCAAGCGTGGAAATCGGTCCTCTGTCTGGATGTTGTTCCAATGGACAAAAACTTTGTCCTCAGTGCGGATCAGCTTCTGAGCTGAGAAGATACGTTTCGGCATTTCATGGTGCTGGGCATTGGCTTCTCAAATGTTTCAACGCAGAGACTCGCAGGAGTGATGCTTCGTTTGGCACTCCGAGCCAAGCTGCACGAGAGTGCTACCAATGCAAATTCAGCACGTGCCACTTTCTGGGACCCTGAACCCTACACCTGCTTAGCTGCCATCACTTCGCGATTTGGCCCATTTTCAAGCTGGTAGTCGGCAGGCCAATCTGGACGTGGGGAAGGGTCAGCACGGTCACGGAAGGAAACTGAAACCTATCTATACGTGTGTCTATATACATATATATATATATACACACACACACACACATATATATATATATATATAAAGACTAATTATATACAGCACAATGCACAATACATGGTAACGCAGTATATTATACACGCAACACGATACAATACAATACAATACAATACAATAGCAATATCAATATCTATATCTGTATATAATATTTATATCTATATATATATATACACATATAGTTTTCTCTCGCGCTCTGCCGAGGCTGCGAGGTGACCATGGCCAAGCAGCTTTTAGAAAGGACAGCAAGCCGAACGTGCACACGTCATGAAATCAAGAAAGAACAGGTCCAAAAAGCCCAGGCTATTCCTATACAGGCCCGGCTCCCTCCGGAGAAACACAAAGTGAGCAAACCAGTGTTGAGATATGTAATATGTCATAACAAAATAAGATATTCCCAATGCTTTATACGATGTTACATAACATAACATGAGATATTGTAATATAAAAATCATAATATACATGATGTAACACTGAGTACCTCCTGACCAAGAAAGGGCAGCGACCCCGGAAGTGCCCCGGCGCCAATGTGAGATCTGTGGGTTTTCGGTACTTGCCGGTGGGGCGCTTCCGGAGGCAGACCTTGCAGCCGGCTTGGATCGAAATGGGGGAGAGCCCCTGACCAACCGGCCTCCCCCCCAAGATCCATATGCTTTCCGCCCTCCTCCCCGTATCAGGGCTTGGGCTCGGCCGCTCCCCTCCCTGCACTCGGCCGTCTCGCTTTCTATTTCCTTGATGGAGCGGCTTGGCACTTGATCTTTCGCGTTATATTCAGGTCCCGGACTAAGACACTGGCAAAGCCTCAACCCACATCTATGGAGACAGCATCGCTACAATGATGTCTGACGAAAGAAAGCACGAAACACGCTGTTGCGCTCCAAGCTGCCCCGGGCACGACCCCCTCGCAGAGAACATGTGCTGCCCATGCCAGAGAAACAGTGATGCGCATGCGATTCTAAACTGTTTCGGAATGGTCTGTCCTTCTGGTCCAGCGCGATGTGCCCAAACCCTCTCCACTTGTTGAACTCAATGACCTGATCTGCACCATGCTGGAAGCAGCCCCTGGAAGCAGTCCTCCTGCGACGAGTTTGCCGTATCCATCCGGATCCTAGCCAAGCTGCGGTGCCGGCATAGCGGGCATCCTGTCTGGACAGCATCTTCAGATCTCCAGGCTGCAAAAAGAAGCAAAGGCCTGGCCTTGTCTATGGTGAAGTCCTCCGGTATCGCAATGGGGCCATTCTCGGCTGCAGCTTTGGCATCTCCACCTGTCAGCAAGCATGAGGCATCGCTCTTGCAAGAAGCGCAGCAAAACAGCAAATCCCAACCTGTGCTGGGTGTCTGGATCGTCTGCATGTCTCGTGATTCTGAGACACGGGAGGGAGCCGAACAGGCTGCACCAATATGCGCCAGGATGGATCACACACCAGACCCACATATACCCACATCTCCTCCCCGCAACTGCCAGGGAGAGCTATTCCGACGGATGATTCTTTGCTGCCGAGTCTAGAACTGAAGATTTCTTAGATGGGCCAGGTAGGTGTCTGGTTGACCTGATCGTTGCCTGCAGAAAAATGATACTGGCATGGCTCATGAATTTATGAATGATTAGTACCAAAGGCTGATCATCAGTATCAGCCATTACGCGCCCATCCCGTGAGATGTGAAACATCGGCTGAGCTGCCATGCAAGGAGTGTGGCCACATGACGTGGGCACTCTATTCTCTGAAGCTTGCCGCAGCTGGCGTGCAAGTACCGGATCTGCTCTCTGTACAACAGGGCTAGCGCCGCTGCAGATTCGTGGAACTGGCATTGCCGTAGAACAGCCCGGGAAGCATCTGCTTTTGCATCGTACCATGACTACAGCTAGCCTTCCCACTACCGGTACACGAACGTGAGACAGCAATCGGGTATGTGTCTGCAAGTTTTTCCCCTTGCACTCATGAACTCTCATGAACATGGTAGGAAAATCTAACCCTGGTAGCCAGCTCTGACGAGGCCGCGCGCCTTTGGGAAGGCAGCCTCGGCCTCGGCTTCCTCGGGGTCCGGCGAATGGAGGAAGTTGGTGCCCACGGCGCCTTTCACAGCGCGACCTTTCCGAGAAGCTGTGCCTGGACGTCCTGCGGACTTCATGCGCTGAGACTTGCCGTTTTTGGCCGGCGCCGGTCGGGTCTCCGCCCGTTGCGCCCCACCATCTTCGGTGTATGCGAAATAGACGTTGGGTCTCTCGTTCATCATTGCCACTGGATCCGGGCTGCCGTCTGCTTGTCCTGTACGTCTCATTCCATGCCGGCCATCCCCATCGTCGTCCAGGATGCGGCCACGCCTTCGGACCCGATTTCCAGCAAGATCGATGTTATTGATAACCCACTCATCAGAGGACTCGTCGTAGTGCGCACGCTCAACGATCTGCTGGTAGTGCTCGAGTGGAATGAAATTCTCGATTGTGAGGCATACCAACTTGACCTCCTTCCGCAGTTCTCTGATGGTTTCCAGCATATCTTCGCGTTCAGTTTGGAACTCGTGCTGTAGATCCTGCACCTCTTGCTGCGTTTGCTTGTGACGATTCCACAGCTTTTCCAGCTTGGCAGTCATCTTTTGCACCTGCAAAGGCACAAAAGCGAACTCCGTCGAAAGTTTCGTTCAAGGATGACGAGGCTCGTGGGCTATGTCATGTACCTGAATAGCCTCGTTGACGGTTTACGATCCCTCTTGCCTGTTCCTCTGTCGAGGCGTACTTTTCTTCGAGGTTGAGCTTGTCCTCTTGCTGTTGCTCGAGCTCTTCCTGCCTGGGCGCGTTTCGAGAAGAACGGATCAGATGGCACTCAATGATGCAACATGGTAGCTGCTCATGACCGACAGGCTTCAAGCCCTACACTACCGACACTACCAGCAGTCCCACCCTGCAGCCACTGGCCCGTGCTGGCCTAATACTCTCACCAGGCTTGAGGTACGCCAAAAAAAAGGCAATCGAGGCCCGTCCCCCACCCGCCAGCCGACCCTTCCTGCGCTCGTCCAGAAGCCGACTACTATTCGAGGAAACACGGCGTCCACGTTCATTGGGTGCTTCGGCTACAGCCCCTGCAGCAGTGAAAAAAGAGAGGCGCCTCCCCCAGAGAGCTCCTTCCCCGAGCACGACCGGAAGCTCAGGGCGCTGGGCGCTTTCATGTTGCATACTTTCAGCACTGTTTGGGGGGGAGTGCCGGGGCCGAAGTGAGGCGTCATCCGGGCATCGCAAGATAAATCCGATCCAGCAGCATGCGCTGCTCCAAGCGTTTCTTCTCTTCCACTTCCACGGCGGCTTTCCGGAGGTCGGCTTCTTGCCTCGTTATCCGGGCCAGTGCACGTGGGCTGCTTGTGTTGCATGCTGGCATATGCTGCAGAGCAACTGCATGGCTTTCTCCATAACCTGGCTTCCAACCAGCATCTTCTCCTCCATGGCCTTTGATGTCTTCGCGGGATATTCATGGAACTTCAGCAGTGAGTAGAGCCGCTTTCCACATGCAAGTAGACCCTGAACCCTCAACCCTAGGCCCCATTTAGATACTCCCGGCCTTGAGCTGTTGTAGCATCTTCTCCTGCTGCTGGGCCTTCTCCTCTCTGCTGCGCTGCTTCTCCTCCAAGGCCTCTAGCAGCTGCGTCTTCTCCTGATCTGCCATCTCCTGAGTGTCGTATTACGACTCATAATACGCCGCAGTAACTTGGGAGTAGTGATGAGTGGTAAGAAAGAAGAAGACATGCATTAGATTGATTCTCTCCAGATCAAGACCTCGCAGCCGAGATCCTTCTGCGCCTCAATGGCCTGCCTTTCAGCTTCCACGGCCATCTCGATCTGTGCTCTTTCTTGCTCTACCTGCGAGAACGCTTAATGGCACCACCCCCGCCCCGGGTGAGAGAGTCACTGATTCCATGTTTGAAATCAACAATAATCAACACAATGAGAAACCAGCCAGGCACGAACAGTAGCAACAAAAACACCACCGGCTCTGCTTTGGCTGGCCTGCCACTGGATCCGTTGAACTTCCTCCTCCGTGATCCCGGACTGGACAACCTTTTGAACGACCACCTCCTTCTCGACGATCCTCGGCATAACACCCGAACCGGCAGCGACTTGATGCCAAGTAAGACCTGACCAGACCTCTATGGAAAACCAAGCTTCTTTTCCACCTCCACCACTTCTTTTTCCACAATCACCTCTGGTTCTCCAGGCGCGGCACCCGGTCGAATCGGGCTCCCAGGACCTGCGTTCGCACGCTCCTGCAACTTCATCTTCAGCCGGGTGATCTCGTCTTGGAATTCGCGGATCCTTGGAGGGGTCTGGCCCTGAGATAAACTCTGTTAAAGTATGAACTAACTTTCCACCAGTTGTACTGCCAGGAAGCATGGCATCCTTTGGATCCTCGTTGATCCTGGGTTTGTTTTTGATGCTCTTCGCTCTGGAAGCATAGCGGAGTGTGCTCAAAGTCTCGTCGAAGTTGTAATCGACCGGACCGATACAGGCACACATCACCGTCTTGGTGTTGCCACCTAGAGAGTCCTGGCCAGGTCCAATATCATTATTCCACCAGTACATATTGAAAAGTGTTTGACAGCACACGACATCATGACAGCCGAGGTCCTGAAGCAAGCGCGTGAGCTTTGAGTCTCGATAAGGAACGAAAGATGTCTTTGAGTCGACCAAGGCAGAGATCACATTTCCCAGCGCACTCAGCGACATGTTGATCTTCGTTGCTTCCTGCACGGCCAAAGCCAGCAAATAACTCAATCCAGGAGACCAGGACTACGGACTTAGAGTCAAGAAAAGTGTCTTATTCCTATAAATCTGGAGTTACTTTCAAAACCAGAAGGCCTTCAGCGTGTCCCCAGTAGCCCCCGTCTTGCTTTGCCGCTCAGAGCCCGCCAGGTCCACCATGTTCATTTTACCAACTCGAATATGATCTTGACCGTCGATTCCTGCACGATGGACACAGGTCTCGGCGTGTCTTGCGCCCGGCGACTATGGTTGCTCTGGACTGCTACCTCTAGCCTGCTCACACTCCCAGCAACCCGCCTTGTTCCAGAATCTCGACAGTGATTGTAAAAATTGAATGCGATCGGCTGGACTCGTTGTTCATGAGAGTGCTGGCAACACTGCGGTTCTTTTGCCCAACCTTGCCGGAGCTAGCAGCAACGAGGGTGAAAGGAACAAGCAAGCACGGGGCTATGGGCCGTCAACTGCTTCGATGCCTCCATAACTTGCTGGAGGTCGGGGGCGCCCTTCACGATCATGTTCGTCAAGTCTTTCACGAACACACCTCCCTCTGGATGGTCTTTTAGCTCGAGCTTTTGCTTCGGATTTTTCGAGAGCAAATCTCGGATCCTGGCAGCGATCGGCAAACTCGGGTTCAGACCGGAAGAATCTCGAAGTCTGGCTTTCTCCCGTGCATGCTGAGCGACTCTTCGTTGTAGATTTCCAAGTAGGATGCACGGACCAGGAACTTCTTGTTCTGGCCGCAATCCACGTTCCTGTGCTGCACTTCTGTGACGGCAAAACGCTTGAACTGCGGAGCAAAGACAGTAGATTCGGCCAACAATGATCCGAAGCTGAGTGCTGGTTCATGTCACCAGCCAAGGTGCCGAAAGATGTGCGCAAAAGTCCTAGGAATGACCCCATGCAGCTCTTCCGGTTGGGCCGGCCCGACCATCGTGTGGGTCTTGCCAGTGCCAGTTTGCCCATAGGCAAAGACGGTACCATTGTAACCATCCATGACGCCTTGGCGATTGCTGCTCAAAAGCATCGTGCCCACAATTTCGGGGGATGACCCCTGATCCTGCTTGCCGCCAGGCGGCTTTCCACCTGAGTCCGCACAGCTCGTCACGGCTGATTCGAGGGTTCCCTTCCTCTGCTCTCTCGCTCTTGCTTGTGTTGCTTTCGGGACATACATATTACATACTGGTAACCTACTGGCATCGTAGACTGTCATCGCCCGTGTGATCGTCTTTCAGCCATGGGTCCCATGCTCTTCTCTTCTTTGTTTTGGCTCTCGCACTCAGACGAAGCAGGCACGATCTGTCTGCATGAAAGCTGTGGTAATCTGGAGCGCTTGAGGTGCCGGCAATAGGATAGCCGGTGTGCTCATAAAAATCGCCCTGTATGGTGTGCTCGTCATAGACAGCGTCGAACGTGAAGTTCTTGCAGTCTTGCGTGCCAGGTCTTCGAACACTGACGGCTCCGTCCTTGACCACCTTGAATAGCCGTTTCGCAGGGGTGCAAGACTCACAAGCACCGCAAGCACGCTGCTTGGGCTTAAGGCCATTGGGACATATCAATTATAACATATAATAGATAACTATATTGGGACAAGTCTCCATATCGACGATCTTTTCTCTGTTGTCGATTTTCTCCTGGCCGCTCAGAGGCCGGCATCGGATCACGACCTTCACGCATTCCTGGCAAAACAGCGATGATGCTCCGCTTCGGATGCGGAAGAGGGGAATCTTTCTGAACCGAGCGGCTCTCTTGTCGTCCGCCATGGCCACTGGAGGCGAGGATTTGTGATTTCGCACTTTGGTAACTTCTGGCCAGGGAGTCCTTTAGTTCGGCCGAATGCTTAGAAGCTTAATGCTTGGATGTGTCCTGGCCACTGAGGAGTTGGGAAAAGGTGGGCTGAAGCAAGGCATGCGCATGTGACGGGCATCCTGCTTGTTGAGATGTCCTTGCAAAATGGCTGCAGGCCACGTTGAAAGCACATATCAACAAGCTTGCGAACAAACTCAAGACCTGCCAGTCATGGAAACTACACTAACTGCATCGGACCTCACGCAAAGCTGCTCCATTTTCCATCTTCATGGATTATGTAGACCAGATCCAGGCATCATACCCGCCCCAACTCAGAAAAACACCTCAATGAGCGGCACGGGATGATTGAAACAGGATACCACGAATACTTTGGCGAGGAGGCTATCCAAGTCTCGGATTGTCGCCCCCCATGCTGATGGAAGACCCACTACAACCTCAGTAGTTCGTGCGAGTGAGACGATACTTACATTCGCCTGCTCCTGCACTGGAGTTGCTACCTTTCGCTCTTACTTGCTTGCTTCCGCCGTGTTCACTACCGGCCGCAGGTACGGGCTCTTTGCTTGAAGTGGCCAGTGCATGCTTGGAAGTTGCCATCTTTGTGTCACGCTGTCCAGGTGTACTGGACGGAAACAAGTCATGAGTTGAGTCAAATCCAAATTTGGCAAAACTATGAAAAAACTGAGCGGGTGGTGTCCATGAATGGTCGGCTGGTATTCTGTCATCTTGCTGGTTTGGTATTCAAAGATCCGGTCACTAGCGTTCGCGCTTTCTCTCATTGGCTGCAACACGGCATGCTAGCCGCAAAACCCAGTCCAGGCACCTACACCAGATCTTCGCAGCATGACTGGCGAGTCTGGGCACAACAGCGATACAATTCGGGGCTAAGGCTCGAGCATGATAATTGCCACTCCATTTTGATTGGCATTTGCTGGCCATACAATGCCTTACTTTTTGACGTGTTGCGAGCTCATAGAGCATGTTGGCAGTCACAGGTGAATGTTCAAAGACTTTTGGCGGCAGCAGAAATGCAAAAGAAAGTGCAGATGCGATCTTCACCGAGACTCGTCCACGTGTTGAAGTCGATTGATGCACAGCTTGACATGATCCTTGACATTTCTTGAAGTGCAGCCTGCCGGCAAAGCAACAAGAGCAAACAGTATGTGGCCGCCTATTGCATGGCCAACGCCGATCTCCAGGAAGGAGCATGAACCGAGGCAACCCATGTTGCTGAGGTTGCCATGGGGATGACTCTCAAGTTAGCGTGTTCGGAATCACATGTCAGAGGATGTCGAAGGGCGCATGCCGGAAAGCGGCGCCGAACGATATGCCGACACGAGTCTGAGCTTGGTTCTTGCTTTTTTTCAACCAAAGACCCGAATCGTCTTCCTGTGGTATCCACACATCACGCCTGTTGGCATCCTTGAGAGTCAGTCAGTGGGCAACTTCTCGACTGTCCGCTAAGCATGGACTGCCGCCTCATCGTAGCCACGGCTACGGACAACGGAAGGCGCGCTCTTGGGGAACTCCTTGGGCCGCACCGAGGCTGTCTCGATGCTGTGTCCTTACAAATGGGTCGCGCAGTCTGGGCTTCGGGGAAAACCCTGATGCCTTCTAGCCAGCTGGCAATGCAGGAGACCAACTGTCTTGCCGAGCATCGAGACGTTTGCAGCAACATGAGGCTGGCTGCCTGTTCGCTCTCGCAGCTGTCATCGCTGTCCAAGGCATAGGCCAACCACTGGTCCTGACTTATGGTGGCTGAGTCTCATTGAACCATGTGCAATCTTATCACCATGGGCGTGAGCGAACATACGTGTGGTCTAGAGTGTGCAAAAGTGTGGCCGGCTGCGGGCAAGCCGTGGTCTAACAACAACTGACTATCTTCGTGTCTGGCAGACTGCGTCTGATGATTCGCCTTAAGCACTGCTCGGGAGAACATGTCCTCACCAGATGACCATGAGCAGGAAAACAGGGAAATGCCTCATCTGCCATCTCTCTGAGATTACAAGACGATAAGGAATTTCTCAAGAATCAAGAGCTAGTCCATCTGCAGCCCGCCACATCGCCACGCGGCAGCAGTCAAAGCTCATCTCGTTTTGATACCCTCCCACCCAGGCTTCTGCTGGCCTGACAAACCCTCAGAATACCGAAGGCTGGCCTAGGCAGACACCGTCTTGCCGAATCCCGCTACGACGTTGCCGCGGGCAACCGGACCCTGCGATCAGACTTCCCACAACCAGCTGCAATCTGTGGAACCCCGAGCAACTCGCACTTCGCGCGTAAGGGGCCATCCAAAATGCGGAAATCTGTTGATGCTGTTCGTCTTCTGAGCGCGTCGGGGCTACAGCTCTTCTGGTGCCAAGCGGTTCATGTCGGCGCTACAGATGGCTACAGCTCTTCTGGTAATTGACGTCAATTGACATCTCTCTCGCCCACATTCACCCCGGCCGTTCCGAGAAATCACATCTCGAGGCGAGGACTGCGTGGAGGGGGCAGGGACACGTGCGGGACCACGTGGAGAAGGGTTTGGCCGGGTGCAGATGAGAATGCGGAGAAGGCTGCGACTCGCAACAAAATCATGCCGCTCCTTCGTACCTTACTAGTCGTGTCGCCCTGGTGCACTGAGGCTACGAAGTTGAAACCTGACACGTTCAGCATTTCATTGCAGGCAGGCAGCAAAGTAAAGTCTGCGTCAGCCATGGAGCGCTGTTTCTTGAGAGCCTCGGCAAGTGGCTCGACAGTCAAAACACGAGACGAATTCTAGATGGTGGTCGCCCGGCCCGCCAGCAGTCGTAGTATGAATCCTTTGAGATTGTAGGCGCCCGGCAACATGAACGGAAGGAAGTGGAACGTAGCCGTACCATACCCTGGCTTCAGCCCTGAGCCAAACCGAAGCGACCCGGGTCGGCTCCTGGAGCATCCTCAGACGTCGTCAGAAGCTGTACAAGCGGGAGGGCGAGGTGTCGTCACTGCGGATGCTGCAACGAAAGCCACAGTGGCGAAGAAAAGGGTTCCACAGTGGCTAAAGCTCAGATCACTTCATGCCTTGGCAACACCACACAAAAAACATGGGTGCGTTGTTGGCAGCTGAACCAAGACTCAACCCGTCGCGAACACAACCCAAAATACCACACAATACATTCGGTACAGTAGTCTGGTGCATTTTTTTGCTCAACGGTTGCTGGCCTTCAGAATGAGCAGCCCTTTCCTGCACAAGCAAGCACGCAAGTCCATCTCACCGCCCTCCTGTACGCGTCCTCTCCACCACTTTAGTACTAACCAAATAGCAGATTCAGCAGGCCAGCAAACAGGATCCAAGCCAAGCAGAGGCATTCTTTCTGTGTCTCTCTCCTCATTCTTCCTCACAAATCGAACTTCCCCCTCGCGTGAAGCCGCTCATTGCATCCCAGGTCTAGTGTGCGAGTTGCAGCAGACTCAGGAGCGGGTTGTGGGTTCTTCTCCAGGGCATGCGGGGAGGTTAAATCCAACGGCCACCAGGGCCCCTATTATGTGATGGGGCTTCCAGGGAGTGTGAAAGACCGGGATTTGTTCCAAGATGGGACAATGCACAGGTGTTTGCTCTCGCCCCGTCTCCAGCCCAGATGGGATCGTTAGTCATCTGTCAGCCGTGTAGCAGAGCACAGCGGTTGAAAGTTACCCACGTACATGTATAGGCGAGGGAAACTGAGCACAAACGCCACAAATGCCGGGATGATCGATGCGACACCGAACGAGAACTTCTGACCACAACATGTTAGGCCGTGAGGCCGCGACCTCAGCATTGGGTGCGCGAGGCGTGCGCTTTTTGTGCCGAGCTTTTCTGAATCACGCCCTCCACGCGTCCAGATGACTTTCGATTCTCACGGGGAATCGCCCGTGCGGCCGCGACTTCTCGATTCATTGCAGCATGCACAAGTCCAGGAAACCCGGTTCAAGACTGTCACGCATGACCCGAAATGCCCCGACGCGGCTGACTTACACTGGCTGCAGAGACATTTGCGGCAGGTGCTGAGCGGTTCCATCGGGGAGGTCGGTGTGTCAACAAGCCCGCTCTGAGGCTCAACGACAGTCAGAACCGAGTATCAGCTGCAGTCTTGCGATGTCTTCGACATTCGACTTGCTGTTGGCTGACCGAGATTTTAAAAAATGCGATGCTGCCGTTCGTTTGCGTCGTGTGTCACACATGCAGATCCTCGGGAGAGGAACCAGGTCTTATTAACGGCTTTCATAGGGTCATAGACTCATAGACGTCTGATCAGACCTTACCCAGTACGAAATCCCGAACAAAGGCCCGCGATGGATTCATGAAGTAGTAGCAAGACTTTAGAGACTTTAAACCAGGTTTGTCTTTGCACGCCTCCAGGTGTCCAAAGGTTCCGCCAGAGGGGAGCACAATGGGGTGGGCGGCAAGCGGCAAGCCCTACAAATTCAGAAGGAGTGGGAAGTCAAGTTGGCTTCTGAGGATGGGCACGGAAGGTTTGCACGCATGTTGATGCCTGATGACCGTGCAACAAAAAACCATACTACCAGCAACACAAGGTGGCGCCTGGTTGAGACGGCGGCCGAAGCGCTTGAAGAATCCACGGGTTGAGGCCAAGCGAGGAGCAAGTTGCCTAGCATCAGCTCTGTGTCTGGAACTCTCTCTCTCTTTTGCAGACTCGGGTTCTCATATCTTCTCCTGGACTGGAACCGAAGCCGTAAAAGAGAGTCGGCGTTAGTGGGGCCTCCCGGCATCGTCAGCGAAACCTCTGTATCCGAGATCTGCAAATCCTCGGCGCACAGCCACAAGCAAGCAATGCCAATGGCCAGACCCGTCGCTTTGAACCAAGCCGTTATACTATACTATAATAAGATATAATATACTATAAATGATTTATACTATAATGTAATATATTAGAATACGGTGTACTATCATATAGTCCCAGCGGCGATGTTGGACAGGTCGAGGCCTTCTGGCCAGGGGACCTTCGAAGCAACAGGCTTGGTTGCCCACGGATCCGTGGGCCCTGAGGTCGCCTCAAGTGGGGGTTTCAGAAAATGGGGGACCCTAGTATAGTACCCTAAATAGTAGGATCCTTATTATAAGGACCCCCAAATCAAGGTACTCCTAATTTTCGGAAACTCCCAAGTAGCAACAGGCCACAACTAGATCAGAAAGAACTCCTCTGCTCCCCAGAGAGCTCTCTTGATGCATGTAGTTTCCATCAACACTGCAGTGCTTTGTCTCTCTACGAACTTCTGACGACTTTCGACTGATGCACAAGCTGCTCATTTCTCTTGGATGTTGTCGCTCCAATACGGAAGGCTTGAAAATGTGTGAGGGACGATGTGACTCAGCACGTCACGTAGAGACGTGGAAACACAACGAAGGTCGATGCCTCCAGCCGCCAGCCGCCTTCCGTAGCCTTCACCTCTGCCTTCGGCCCAGCTGCTTCCGACTGAGTCAGCCTGGGAAGCACAAACACTGCGGGATGCAGTTGCATCGCAGAATCTTGCATGCTGCGACTTGCAATGGTGCGACGATGTGCGACGGCTCGGCCAATTTAGTCTCGCCTCATTCTGCCTCCATTCCCCGAGCCTCCATTTTGGAGGAGATTCTGGGAGAGTGTGGAGTAAAAAGTCTGCCCAATAAGGCAGTGCTCTGGCCTCCTTGGGAGGTCTACGTCTACTGACAAGACTTTTAAGCTTGTAAATAATGCCGGCCTCTCAAGCTGCTGGTTTGTGCTTCGCCTTCAGCTCTGTACGTCCTCAACTGCCGCAGCATGCTTGCGTTAACACATGTCAGGCATGCGACGAAAGAAAAGCGGTCTCGCAGGCTACAGCATTCCCCTCTTCCCCCTGCCCTAAGCCGGCCTGCTTGGAAGAGCGGCAGCCTCTGCAATCGAATCAAGCATGAGTCTGGCGTGTCGCAGGGACTAGTGTCGGAGAGAGGCCCGGCCTGTCTTCCAAGAACGTCGTCAGGCTACTGGTCAAGTTGAGGCCCTCTTCGAACAAGTTGAGCTCCAGCAAGTTCTTCCGGGGGACCACACAGCGGACGAGGTCATGATAGGCTTCGAGCATGGAGGCCAGGTCCTCATCGGAATACTCTTTCAAGCCTGAGAGGCCACAAGGCCTCATGACCGGAGGTGGGCTGTTGCCATGTTTGCGCCGGCTTTGTGCCCACTCCAGCGAAGGCCTGGTAGTCAGGACAACTTTCGCCTCGGGGAACTGAAAGTACACGTCCAGGAAGGACTCCGTGAACGGGGTGTCGCTCACGTAGTTGACGTTCTCCGGCAACTGGCTAAAGTCAAAATTCTCGATGGTCTCTTGGCATTGTGAGGTGTTGGCAAGCATGCCTTCGACAATTCCGGTCAAAAACTCCGGCAGCTTGTGCTCTCTGGCATGCTCGTTTGCTGAAGCCCTTGCGTCCTTGTAGTGGTATCCATGCAAGCCCAGCTCTTCCAAGGCAACCACCAAACCGTGCGTGCCGGTGGTCCCCATGCCAGCACCAATCACCAAGTTGCGAGAAGTCATGGGCAGCTTCCGTGGCTGCCAGGAGGTGCGATATACTGAAGGCAAGTTCAGAAGCTCGAGCTGCTTGTAATACTTTTTTGCACACTGGCTGGCTTTCTTCACCATGGTGCGGCGCACCTGAAGGATGTTGAAGCCTGGGTGTTGCAGCGCAGCGTCGCCCTCTCGCTGTAGAAGTGCTGTGACATCGTCTGGACAACTCTCGGACGCGCTTTGTGGGATGGATGCTGCCAGACTGCAGATGCGAAGGAAAAGGATGGCACGCAGCATCGGTCGTCACGAAGCGGGGGTTCAGTTGCGAATGGGCTTTGAACCAAGCGGGCAGTTCAAAAGGGAACCGTTAAAACTAGACAAAGTCTCGCCTCACAAGCGTACTGCAACGGTTTTTATGAACCCGTTCCGTTTGGCTCCTGGCGTTGACGACACCGAACTCGTCCTTCCTCTCGCGGCAGCACTTGCAACATACTCACGAAGACGAAGATGGCTTGAAGGACTGTGGTTGAGATCTTTGTGCAAACAATCACTTGACTGCATGTAGACACTGCAGGGGCTACATCGGGCGCTCGAAGCCTTTTTCCGGTTGAAAGTGCCCCGGTTAAGTTCTCAACTGTGTCAATTGGTGAGATTGCATCATTCATGTAACAGCTGCCCAGTGAGCTGCCTCTGCAGCCCCAAAGAGCGCACTCGAGGGCCCTAGAACGCAGACCTGTGGCCTATGTTGAGACCAACATAAGGTCCTTGAAGTCCCATCGCCCGCTCATCATGTCTCTACGTCGCTCAGCTTCACGTACCAACTCGACAACCCCATTCTTCGAGCGCCTCTCCTTGCGTTTCTCGTTCCTGACAAACCTTTCAGCCCGCTCCTCCTCCAATGCTGACTTCAGCTTGTCCACACTAAACTCAACCCGCAAGCCTTGTCTACGTCGGCAGATACCGGGGTCATCCAAGCGAATCTTGAGCTGAGGCCATGCACGTGTTGCTTCCAGCCACACATCCCAGGGGCAATCGCCATTTGGCGCCTGGCGAAGGAGCTGCAACATTGTGCGGATGCGAACATCCTGGTCTTCCTCGTAGTCCGCATCCTCACTGGCATTCGATTCAGTCTCTGCCGCATCGGTCTCTGCCTCGCTATCGTTGGGGTCAACCAGCTGCTGCAAGGCCCTCACTGTTCCAGAGATTTGTGATGCACTGACTGATTTCACCTCACACCTGGGTTCTGGTGGTGAGCGCATTTGTCTTTTCTGATCTTGTTCAGCTCCAAAGCTGTTTCTAACCAAGCGTTTGCTGGAGTCCTTGAGGGCTCGGCGTCTTGCCTGATACGCCTGCTCGGACTCTCCATCGGACGGCACAGTGTCATGAGCCCGAGCGACGGGCTTTTTTACTGGAGTGAGCGCCTCCACTGCTATCTGAAGGGCATCAACTTCCGGCCGCGAGAGGTACGCGAGAATCTCGTTGAGGTCTGCTGTGCCGAAAAGAGACACGGCCGTGTCCTCCATGCTGTCAGATAGCTCTGAATCGCAGTCAGACACGTCCCCGTCATCGGTGCCAGCATCCTGATCGTCAGCGTCAGCCACGCCCTCGCCGTCGACAGCTCCACTCCCACTCTTTCCGCTGACAGACATTTCTGGTGCGATCGAATCTGAGTTTTCGCAAAGCACATCTTCGTCATCTTCAGCCTGGTCTAGGTATGAAGAAGGCAATTTCGCCTGCACATCGTCATAGATTGCCTTGATCTGGTCTCTCACGTCTTCAGAAAAGAACGACAAATGTGGCATTTCCATGGGATCTGTCTGATCCCTCACATCGCCCAGTCTTGGCCCAGGCATGTCTGCACTGGATGCACTAGATGAAGCACTGGCACCTGTGACCGGCTCACTTTCTAGCGCGGTCAGGAAGCGCCAGCGCCTACGTAAGGCCTCCGGCGAGTAAAACTCGTAGGCACGCTCTACAAGCTCCTCATCCAAGCCCTGCGCAATCTCCAGAAAGTCTTCGGAGATCGCCTCCGGGCCCGGCAAGGGTTCGTTCCCTTCATTGTTTCTGACACTATTTGGCCTTTGCTTCGTGAGGGGTGGGGGGGTGCGACGGTACCCTTGGGGGCTGGTCGGATTTGCCCCCAAAGGCGTGCTGCAATATGCCACTCTGGTGGGTCTGTTGCTGAATTCGTTCTCAATCTTATTTCAAGCCTTACTTATGGCTTTTGTCCCTGCTGGCTTCTAGCTGGCTATCTGCAGCAGAGACCGAAGTCTCCTGCAGTGTGTACGGTCGTAGAACAAAACGATCTGCGTTGAGGGTCTGGATGGCACGGGCATGTCTCTTCAAGCGGTCTTGGTTGCGAGTGCGAGCCGGCTGTGAGGCGATGACCGAATCACAAGACTAAGTAAGGCGAGCAGCGCTCTCGAATGAACTGAGAAGGGCCGATGGAACTGACTCGCTTGCTCTTCCTTTCTTCATTTCAAACTGGACATAAAAGCCCACAGACAGAATCACCACCGGCAACAGCAACAGCAACAGCATGAACAAACCACGACCAGCAGCAGCAAAGAAACGAGGACGACGACGCGGCCGGAACCACATGCCCATCAATCGAAGAACAGGCCAGCAATGCAAGCATCATGGCCCCTTTGAGACATCGTTAACAGCCCACTGCCGCCCGCACCACCACCACAGCCACTGCAAAGTAAGCAGCTCCCGAAACCACCTTTCACAGGCATCCTGCCTCAAAGTCACCGTCATGCTCCCTCACGCCGTAGGCGAGGAATTCGTCTAGTTCTTCGGGAAAGTCTGGTCCAGAGTACACCAAGTCGTCTGACTCTGAGCCTTCGGCTTCCATGGCCATGCTCCTCTGAAGTGAACCCACTGTCAGAAAATGACGGTGCTGGGACTGCTGGCAGGTATAGTGTAGCCACGCAAAGATTGAGTGTCGATTTCGCTAGTACTACGTCTATGCCTCGTAACTTCAGTGAAGTATTTCGGAACTGGCATCGAAGAAGCTTGGGCCCAAAGGTCGGCAGAAGAACGAGTTTGCAGCTGCCAATGTCGCCGAACCGCTCGATCTGAAGTCGCGACATGCAACATGTCATTGAGTTCGGATAGGTCGCGCTTCCGAATTTGGCCTTCCGAGGTTGTTCCCAGTTGTACAGGCGGACACTTCCGCGAAGCCTATCGGATGAGATGCATCGCTGAAGACAAGATGGACGCAATGCCAGGACTGCACCACCAGCCTCCACTGAAGGCAGTGGCTGCCCCTGGCAGGTCTGGGCATGCTTCAGAACCTCAAGTGTCGAATGATATCAAGTCAAGCTCTGGACGCTGCCCGGCAAGGATGCTTTGTGTCTTGCTTGGGCCGCGACGGCAGCTTCGAGCACCTTCCGGACGGAATCCGAAAGCCTCGACTCCTCAGTGCGAAGGCAAGTATCATCGATACGATTTCACACTCATCCGCGTCTGCTAGGCATTCCAGAAAGCCATGGTTCAAGCCAGGGCACTGCAGCTGAGTGGCGGCATGCCTTCCTTGGCAGGTTCCAGAAACTATGCGAAGCCACGGTCGTTGCATGAAGGCGGCCGGTGATGTTTCGTCAAGTGTGCCACAACCGCCTGCGGCAAACAAGTTGAATAACACAAACACGTGGTGGAGCTGTGTCCCTGAGCTGTCTGTCTGTGGCACTGCTGGTCCGCTCCCGTTAACTTCAAGCCACGTCTCTGGTAGCCACATGTGACAAAGGTAAAAGCATTTCCAGAGAACCACTCTCCAGAATTGTCCTCTCTACGAGTCACGGCGCAAGCTGCTCCGCTCGTCCCATTCCCATCAAAAGAAGTGTTCTTGCCCGTCCTCTCCGGAATACACGGTGGCCATGGCGAAGGGATTCTCGCCTCCGCGCATTCGTTGTCGAAGCTTGCAAGCGACTTTGCCAGATCTGGGGAGGCGAAGGGCTCTGAGACCCGAGCGAGGCGAGAGCACGAAGCAGGATCCGAGGATCGCCGTATGGATTGCAATCTGCAGCAAGTCACATGGAAGAGGAGAAAGAACCCCGTGCCTCCCACCTCACCACGTAGATCTGCATAGTCGTTGGCGCAGAAGAAGGCACACAAGTACCGCCTCATCGAGACGTTTCAACTACCCCCCTGGGCTTGCTTTCACACACGCTTGGCTGCAGACGATTCAGCCAAGAACAGCAAGTCCTTGCCGCTCACATTCCTAAAGTTCCTACAGACTGTAATCCAAGGGCGACAGGCCCTCAAAGCCTCTCAGGACGGCTCCGGCAGCCAGCTCCAAAACAGCTCGTCGCGCCCAGAGGCCACGAAATTTCCGTAGCCTCCATTGAAAACCTGTCGACATCTCTGGCGCCGTTGGATGCGACAGGCATTCCCCCAGCTTGAGACAAGAGACAGCACACACAGTGTTCCTTGGATCAGCAAATGGGAATGGCTCCGTCTCCACAACGCGACGGCAACAAGACAACGCTGCTCGTGCCGACTCGTGCAACGGAAGCGGCTCCGGACGAAGATCAGGCCGCTGCTGAAAGAAGTGCTTTGCGCAGGGTGGCCTGGGCATCTCACAGCAGCATGCGGAATGCGACATCAATCTGCACCACCCGGTAGTAGAGGGGCCCTTGTCTTGTGATCCTTTGTGTAGGAGCTTCGTTCTAGTTGCCAGTCTCTGAGATGGCAGCCACAGCCTAAGGCTAAGGTCCCAGCTCTACCTGGTGCACTTCCTCGGTTGGGGCCACACGGATCACCCACGCCCCCACGCACTCCCGTGCAGTCGAGGCCGCTGAGAGGTCACTGAATCCGGAACTGCGCGATATCTCCTCCGAACAGATCTGAGATGCTCTTCTGCCCCTCCTGTCCCTCGCGACTCCACAGCCCCGGTGGCCCCTGCTAAGCGGTGCTGCTGAGCAGCCGGACCAACGAAGTGAAGCCGAACATTACATCGGTGCTTGAGAAGTTCTGCTAGTTCCTTGGGTGGGGGCAAACTGGCATCCAGCTTTAATTATCGAGATGCTGTTGCATGCTGGGCTTCGTCCCAGTATTTGGAGTCCTCGGCATCAGTGGCATTTGAGAATCTTGCACATCTGGAGACTACGGAGACTCATGCTTGGCAGCAGGTTACCAACATGTACTGCACATGCGGCTGCCCTAAAACTAAATCGGGCAGCAGACTCGCCAAACGCGCACCTGGCAGATTCGACATGCTCCACAGCTCCACAAGACACCCAGGGCATCTGCGAGAGAAGGGAGACCTCGGCTTTGGAGGTCGCACCGAGCACCACCACATGCAGCCTCAGAATTCAGAGCTATTGATTCCTGGCCCATGGCTACACAAACGCGAGTCGAGCAGCTCCCAATCCGGTGGCCGCGGCTCCTTTGGCCACTGGACCTATGCGCTGTGACTCCGGGATGCTCCGGGCAAAGATGAACATGAGTCATGGGGCCCTGTGAAAGAGGACACTGTTGCACATCTGTCTCGCACCGTGCGCGCATGGTACATGCTGAGTCCACGGCGACGGACTCCTGGCTGAGTATCCATGCCTCGCTCGAAACATTTCAGACATCAATGCTCTACGTCTTACGTCTTCGGTGCCAGTGCACATGTCCACTCGGATCGCTCAGATGTTGGCCAGGGACAGGGGGAAAGAGAGTGCATCCAACATGATGGCCTCGGGGTCGCTTTTCCTTCTCCGTCGCTCCCGGGCCCAGACCACTGGTTTGGGCCACTGGCCTTTGCCCGTGCCGCTCGGACCATCTCTTCGCCCCCCCGGCTCCGCCTGGGCCGATCCGGGCTACGCGCTGCCCTCAAGTCGACGAGACGCAGGTCGGCTGCTTGATGCATCTTGATGCTACATGATGCTACTTGTTTAGGATAGGTTGAATTTACAGTGATCTGCTTGCACGGGGTCTCGCGCGAACGGATTGGATGTTGGGCAGTAGGACTGCGGGCTGCTAGTGGGCTTGGGTTCGGGCACACACGCCTACCCACAGACACAACTCCACGCGGCAAGCACGGCCAGCCCGGACTGGCTCCACATCTCACGCGCAACTCAAGCACGCACACGCATGATTGCAGGACGAGCCGAAGAACGGCTTGTGCAGAGCTACTCGAGCAATGACTTCTCAGAACGCACAAGTACCAACGAGAATTCTGGATCAGACACGTACTTACTAGCTTCGCACGCACTCAGACCTGCACACACACACACACACAGACACAACAAGTAAATCAAGGATGCTCACAGCACACGCGAAGTCAAGCAGAGCAAAGCTCCTGCTTGCTCGGACACGCGGCAGGCGGAAGGCAGGCTACGAGTAGTGGATGCATCCAAGAGCACTGACTTGCTGGACTTGCGCGCATCGAGACCGCCGCACAGTCGCACCAGAAGACACATGCCAACGCACACTGCCGCACAGCGCACATGACCCTGGACGCCAGCACGATTGGGCCATGGAGTTTGCTGTCAGAACGAATAGATATCGCACGCAGAGGTCTGATGGACTCTTTGCAGGGAGTGCGTGGCAACCAGCGGAAAATTGGGTTGCGCACCAGATCACATAGGTGCAGACCAGAAGCCGATCAACAAAAGGCAACGAAGCCGCTGCGGTTTGCGCACACGCGCGGACGAACATGCTACAGAGACAGACAGAGAGAGAGAGAGAGAGAGAGAGAGCGAGAGAGAGAGAGAGAGAGAGAGATCAGCCGCACAGGCCCACGAAAATCCACCCGCACATGCACATGCACATTTTACAGCCCCACCAGACAAGTCTACTTCGACTCTCATCTTCACACGCACATTAATTGCTGTGCTTGACAAAGCATCCTGGCCACTACGTGTAGCCCGTCGCAGAAGCCCACTACCCACGCGCCAGAACGCAGGGACTGCAGCGGCTACAAAACTCATATAAGTCACATTACTTGTTGCTTCTCTTTCAGCTGGGTCAAAGGCAAGTATGGTCCCCAACCTGAGCTTTTTGCAGCTTGCGGAAGACCATCCAATATGTTCCCATGCCGTCCAGCCTTTGTCTGACAGCCCAGCCGCAGCAGGCTTTCCAGCAGGCAGTTCGGGCCTCGATCGAGTTCGCTTTTCCGACACACTGCGCATGAGTTGTGAAGTCTGATGAATTTGGTGGCTGTCCCCAGGCAAGGCCAAGCTTACTAGATACGAGACGAAAAGACCCTCACACTCCATTGCAGCTTGGTGGGCAGAGCCCTTCGCCCAAGGACCGAGCAGTGTCATACGACTCGGCCACCGAAATGTGCCTGCACGGGCAGTTGCAGCCTTGACGCGATCACGTATAGTTTCAGTGCCACCTGGAGACCAGCCATCATCTGCAGCAGCATCCATTTCCGCACAAAGCCTGGGCCATCAATTCTCGCATTGATGGTCCCTGTGGCAGCCGTGAACCCATCATGCGGATCATAGCCCTGAGACTAGTGCCGGCTGGTGTCCGCGCCCTGCGCGAGCTGCCTTGGCCGAACACGCTCGCTTCGACGTGTCGAATGTGGCGTCGTGGCATTGTGCCGAGCTAAGAGGAAGGCTGGAGTTCTTGATGTACTTTGCGTGAAGCACGAGCAGCAGGGCCATCTTCACAGCTCAAGAGGCTTGTTCATGAGACATCCTTACATGTCTCTACTATTTACTACCCATCCACATGTATGCCACTTTTCTCACCCGACATGCAGCTCTCCCAGGCCTAGAAGTGCTCTGGCGGCGGCTTGCGCCTCTTCCAGGTTTTGTCCTTCGGGTTCGACATGGATTGTGGCAGAAGTTTGCTGCGGAAGCGTGCGGACACCAACACATCAGTGCTGGCGCGACCTGCCTGTCTCCTGCAAGGTGCTCTGCAGTGCCTTCACCGCCCGCACCTCTGCACCACGCTCGCTCGCACTGCACTGGCTGACTTGATGCAACTCCTCAGGACTCTTTAGGTCTTTAGGTCTGGGCAGGGCCGATACCGCCGGCACCACGTGCAGCTAAGGCAGCCTCAGAAGATGTTGGAGCTTGTGGCGATGTCTGAGCTCAAAGCCAAACAGATCCGATCCAAACAGTCTTAGCCATCAGCAGCCGCACGGGCGTCTGCCAAGGCTGCCTTCAGCGTCGCTGGTTGTCTTGGGAGCCTCCGCGTGTCTGCACTCGGCTCTTCCACAAAAAATGAGAGAACCCAACTCGGGCGGCGCACGTGCCGCGTTGGCGCCCCATCTCGGCCAGGGCCTGGCCGCGGCCACTGTAAGCCTCCACCAAACCGTCCACATCGGGGCCTGACCAGGCTGATCCATGTCCGTGCTAGCGGGGCGCAGTCAGTCGGTACCGCTATAGAATCTACGACTCTACGATCGACTCGATTCTTTTTTCATGGGGGGCATTTGCCAATTTGCCAATGACACACACCCTTAAGAGCGAGGCGTATAACGTTCCAACACGGCAGCCTGCTGCCAGATTCTCCCGAAGCTCGTTGATGGCCTTGCTGAACAGCCTTGGACCGAGGTGTCATCGGCCGATGCTCTTCACATCGAGTTTTGTGAAAAGATGTGAGAAGAATACGGAAGTTTGAATTGAACCCTGGGCATCATGACGCGCCGACGCAGACCTGCGACTTCGTGCGACTTGTGAAGCTGACACTTCTGCCATCTTCTGTCGAGCATCTCGGCTGCATTGCGCCAATTCTCGGCGGCCAAGGCCTCCTGAATCCCGTCAAAAGCTCTCTGGCTTCGAAGCTCAGAGCTGCAACTCCAGACGCAAGATCTGCCAAATCGCTCCGTCAACAAACTTGCTCTTCCCGCAATTCTAGTGTCCTCCGCGCTCTGCAGATAGCCCATCCGCTCGGAGGCGCATGAGACTTAGGCTGGATCGCCCTTCGAACCAAGGAGTGTGCTCTGAAGTATCAAGTTTCGCACTGTGGGCCCTCACGCCTACATGAGTCGCCACCTCCTACCAGACTAGCAAGACTAGCACATGTGACGGGTGTTCGTCTGAAGAACATTGTAGGAAAACACTACGTGAGGGGTGTTCGTCTGAAGAACACTGTAGGAAAACACTGTGCTTCGTAAGACCTTTATATGGACCAGAGAGCCGAGCTGCTGCTCCAAAATGCACGGCCTAAGTGTTTGCCTAAGCGAAGCTGGAAGCAAAACAAAAACATATGTGTCCGAGGGCATCTACATGCAAACAAAAAAGTGCGATACTGATTACTCCACACTTAGGCAGCGAGCTCGGCCGAGCTCAGCATGCATGTTGTGCGGCCTTTGTTTTGGCGGCAATACATTGGCCACGTGCTCAACTCCAATTAGCTCGAACTCCTGGGGTTTTGGTGGAGGCGAGTGCTCACACCGTTCGAGCACGAGATGCGATCTGCAGCCTGCAACGAAACTCCAAACACGGGCTGGTTGGGGCGAATCGCTCACTGCTCGAGAGAAAGCTTCATTGGACTATCTGCTACTACTTGCCTCGCGCAGGGTCTGCAAGCGTGCCTCATAGTCGAGGCCTGTTCAGCTGAAAAGAACTTGTGGCACAGGGCCACGACAGCTCACAAGTGTTGCAAACATGCCTTCCACAAGGCTGTCCTGAGCTTTAAACAACTCAGACTCTCAGAGACCACGCACGACTATTCCATAGCACAGCATAACAATTGCTATTCTATACGATACTATACATACTAGTTTTCCCTCTCGCCCTGCCAAAGCCATACACTAATATTCTATACTAGTTCTATAAGTCTGTAAGTATATAATCATTAATCATTAATCATATTATATTATAGGTACTCTGTTTACATTCCTTAGCATAGCATTCCGCGACCTTTTCCTCTGAAGAGTCCTTCTCAGGTCACCATGTCACTGGGGAACGGACGTTTCGAGCGGCTCCGTGCCTCCAAAAGTAGCAGACATCGACTAAAAAACTTAAGGCGCATTCGCTTTGGGTTTTTTTGACATTATATGATGCTATAGACATCTATAGACTATAAAGTACAATGATGCACTATATAACATACTATCCTTTCAGCTTGCTGTCTTCCAGCTTTGCGAACTTTGTCTTCATGACACGTCAGCCCGTCACGTCAGCCCTGATGTGCTGAGCATACGACTGCATGTCGATCCAGAGCTGCCTGAGACAGTCGTTAAATTAATCCCCACAGAGCAGAATGGCTCAAGACTGGAGGCAACTCTTCGCAAGTGACACACTGCCAGCCTGCACCGCAGCGCAGCTGCTTGCAGCTGCGCGCTGTCAGAGGCAAGGAAACGTTGTAGCTCCGACCGCGTGCGCTCCTGCGGAAGGCGGTCCCAGTGCGATGCGTGAGCAATAGGTAGGCGACTTGCTTTAAACTGCAGTCTTTCCGCATGTAACCATCACGAAGCAGGGAGGGCTTATCAGCAGGGCTCGGTTCTTGACCTGCATAGACTCCAGCACGTTCTTATGCGACTGCGAGCAGTGCTGTCTCTACAACTACAAATTACTGAAGGAGTGGCATCTACTGAGAACGGCGTCATAAAAGCGACATGTTTCTTCTCTTGGTAGCGCTGGCTTCACGCTCGACGCGAAGACTCCCCGATCACAGGCGACCCGATGATTGTGGGGCTTCTCATGTCGGGCATACGTATACCTTGTCCAGATCCGGTAAACACACGAACCAAAACACATCAGGCGGATTTCAAGCAGACGGAAGAGGCGATTTGTGCCATGCTTCATGTGGCTTCTCTCAGGATCTGAGACGGAACCCTCTAGTGTGGAATGCTGTTCCCACATGTTCTATGGGTGTGTATATGTGCGCGCTGTTTCGGGCCCTCAATGATGTTGCGCTCATTTGTGGCCCCGCTGGCAGACTGCGCTCACTCGGTACCGTCAGCTGACAGGCTCCAGAGTCCAGCACCAGTCAAACCGACCAACGCATTCTGAGACGTGGAAACCCGGTGGTGCGGGACTCCGGGACGGGGCTCCTCTTGGGAGTTTCAGAAAATTAGGGGTACCTTATTTTGGGGGGTCCTTATAATAGGGATTCCATTATTTAGGGTACTATATTAGGCTCCCCTATTTTCGGAAACCCCCTCTTGAAGCAAGACTCTTTTGCAGCCTTGTGGAGCGCAGCATAGGTGCGCAGTACAACAAGCTCGTCCAGAGTCACGGGAAATGTCTTTGAAAGCACCGCATTAGGCCGGCTCGGCCTCTGTGCGAAGAAACGTGCAATCTCAATCCATAAACATCGATGCTGAGCGAATTCGGGCACTTAGAAGCAGAGGAGTTCTCTTCTTGCATTCCGCTCCCACTTTCGCAGGCTCAGGGGCACTGCTGCCTTCCGCACTGCGGAAGACACTGCTCGGACCCCCCAAGGAGGAAGGCGGAGCTTCTCAGCAGACCGTCGGCCTGAAAGGACCTGACTGGTTGCCAGGCCCACACAAGGCGCAGCCGTCCGCCTGGTTGTGCTTCGTTATCCAACCTCGCAGCTTGCGCAGCTTGGAGCATTGAGCTCAAGAGTCCAAGACATAAGGCTGTCAAGAAACGCCAAGTAAGGTTGATTCTGGGCTCCCTGATTTTTGGCTCCTGCAAAGCACTCCCATGCCGTGCGGAACGTGGTCAGAATCAATTCTTTCCAACAACCAACTGTGAATCTGCTGCTGAGGGAAGCCCAGCTCCTTGGGCACTGCATGGAGGTAGTGGCCTTGGAAGGCATCCATCATGCGAGTTGTCTTGCCTCGATAGTTGCACTATTGGATGTATGGGAAGCTTCCCCGCAGTTCACTGTCAAGCATCGTTGGAACATGCCCTCCATGGTACAGATGTCGCCATGCCTCAACTCATCTCATCATGCATGGGCTGTATACAAGCCATTGTTGGTATTTGCAAGAAGCCCTCTCCCGAGACCTACGAAACATAAGGAGTCCGGACGGATCTGCAACGTATACGCTTGGCAGGCTTGTCCCCTCTGGCATTGAGGCAAGCCACCGCACTTCAAACGAAGCTTCAGCCGGTCCTTTGTGGCTTTTGCCATTGCCTTTTGCGCCCGGGCCTGGTTGCTTTTTCACCTGTGTCCAGGCTTGACCAAACTGCCACGAACGTTTCAATAATGAAAGGCTGACATACAAGACTCACAGGGTCCACAGATCCAAAGCAAGGAAGCGAGACGCCTCGAAAGTGCGAGTCGCACCCAGCGACAGACTCAGAATAGTAATGTCTTTGTATCCACCCTCGAAGAGCTCCTGTGAGCGCAGTGCGCATTGCCTGTTGCTGCAGGTTCCTGCCTGGACTAAAGTGCTCCAGCATAAGATGCACGTTGCTCCGGCTAACTCACAAACTGTCTAGGAGTCTCGAGAGACCTATCCGAAATGTGTAGCACTAGCCCCAGGTCCCCACACCCCAAGTTGCAGGGCCACTGTACGTGCCGTGCAGGTCTCCTCGTCGTCCGTGTGCCAACCCACCGAGTCCCTTCCATCGCCTGCAGTAGTCTCACTGTGTCACACAGTGCATTCAGAACCTTTGCGTGTGGCTTCAGTCGTTCTCTTTGCCATTTGCGACCCGGTCACGGTACAGATTGATATTGCAGCAGTTTGGCTGCGTAGTTAGTCCAGATACACCGACGCAATACTTGCCTCGCACGATTGGCAGAGTTTGCTTGCAATCGACATGGCGGAGTTTCGCAGAGCAGATCGCACATTTACAAAGCTGACTCGAAGAAGCACCGGATTCATTGGGACACATAAAATCAGATGCAGTCGCGAATTTCGGCGACAAAGTCTGGCTCGATGGTGGGCTTCACGGATACTCCTCGATCGAGAATAAAAACCGACAAAGCCTGGCTTTCTGACAGAAGTGCACCTGGCTGATAGACTGATAGACTGCATGGCAACCACAAGCCCCCCCAGACCGCGGCAAGCCTGAATACTTGTAGACACAATTACATCCGTTGAACACGGTGAAGATGGTTCGACGAGGGATGTGCTTGCCCTCGCCCTGGTAGCGCTCGTCGCATAGGTCCTGCACAGGGCCATTGCTTGACGGTCGTTTGTCAAGACTTTAGTACTAGAGTCATACGAGCACCTGATGGCTGTGACCTGTAACTAGGTTCCAATCGTCGCTGTGGCCCATTCTTTCCGCGACATAACTACCTGATATTTCACTTCAACAGAAAGAGGCATGGGGGCTACATTCCGTCCTAGTGGATGCACTGGTGAGCGGCTGTGTTTGAGCTGATGTCACCAGGGTTTGAGCTGCTTTGCGAAGATGAAATAACCACCCCGAAGTCTTTCCTGCACAACACAAACCCACACTCTGTGTGCAAGTTTGTTCGAGTGGTCGTCTACTACGGACCCACGAAAACCATGAGACAGAGTAGCTTATCTGCCGAAGCCCGTGTGCTCTCTGGAGGCTGGTTGTGGGAGCCACGGGAGAGCCCGGGCACCAAGCGGCCCGCCCACGTACCTCTCCCTCCAAGTTAGGCATCCCAGGCAGAAAGCTTCTTGGCTGACTTCTGAAGCCCTCCTCAAAGTTAAACTTTTAGCGTCCTTATCATAGCTCATATAGAAACCCAAAAAGTTAAAGTCCTAAGAGCCAACCAGAAGAACGCCAAGGCTTTCTCTTCATGATTCAAGATATGGGTGCAAATGAATGGCTGACAGTGTCTCAAACCTCCCCGTCGATTTCAGCATGCCCAGAATTGCTCTGATATACGGCGATTACATGTCCTGCCACTGGAGCTGTGTGCGGAGCTGCTCATACCAGCGCCACGCGAGGTCCTGCAGTGAGGGCTGCATGAGTCACGAGCAAAACATCAATACCAATCCTTGGGTCAGTTCAGGAAGTGGCACCGTGTTTTTACTCTTTGCGTGGTCTTGAGAATCGTACGTCTCAAACTTTGCTCGACTGCGTCAGTCGCTAACCCACATGACATGGCTCAACCTGCAACATTTGCAGAATCCATTTAAGCCAAATTTAGGCCTGCGGCACAGCATTGCGGCACATCGAGGAGTAGGAGCCTTGCAAGGAACAAGTCCGCGCGCTTCCAGAAGCCGAGGCTCTCTTGCCGCCAGGCAGCGACGCGCATCATCTTTTAGCATGTACTGCCAACCTCCGTGCCGTCTCTCCGTCTCTCCGTTCGGCTCTCTCTGTCTCTGTTCCCCGCTCTCGGGAATGCCACCCCCCGGCCTTGCCGCACTTTGCTTCCCAGCTCGGTCACCGTGGGCAGCGGAACCTCCTGCAATGCGACGGGTAGAGCTGTCAGCCACGCACCCAGAGCACTCTGCAGCTACTAGGCTAGCCAGCAGAGTCACTACAGCTGGCACCTCCCTCGGTGGCTCTGGCTGTGCCCAGGCACCACGGCGAAGGTCTTCCACATCGTGCCTCGACTGAACTCCGTCATTGCATCAGCATTTGCCGGGCTTACCATGCGCAGCTTGGGAATTCCAGACTCACGAGTGTCATCGTGTGGGTGTGGGATTCATTGGTCCGTCCTGAGGAGATCATGATAGCATCCTCAATTTCACCCCTCGGGGTCCAGAAAATTGGCATCAACATCGCATCAACATCATTAGGAAACCCGTGCTGCGCTGGAACATAACATGCAAGATAGCAAGTAGTCACTGGAGATCGTAGCTTTTAGAGTTAATGTAGTTAATGTTTGCAGCAGGCAGCAGAAGAAGGACTAGGTACTGTCAACAGGGCCGAAAACAAACACCGGGAGTAACTCGAAACTGCGTGCGTATGAGAAGCAGCGGTCCCTAATTGGGGTGGGAAACTCCTGGCTCCGAACGTAGGATTTAGTGTTTCGACTCTCAGGAGTGTCGCGTGCAAAACGCTGGACTCTGGTTGTCCGAGATGCATCACTTCTTTGGCCTTCCTCTTCGGAACACCAACTTTTCGAAGCACACCTGCGCCCAAACCACTCCCGTGAGATGCAGTCAAGCCAGCTGGTCCCGTGCCTTCGTTCAGCGCTGTCAAGAGGCAATGGCCATCCCGAAGAACAGAGACGAGCTGGCGCTTCCATCTGTCCAGGCCCTGGGGCAGAACGAGGCAGAAAGGGCCCTTGCTGCTCCAAGCAGCTTCTCTACCGCAGGCTCAAATTCGCCCTTGGCCTATATGGCCCAACGAGAAAAAGCATAACACGGGCAAAGCACCAGCTAACTACAATTACCAGGACCTCACCCTCTGGCATCAAAGAATCTCTGGAATCTCAGCATCTGTACTCACACGCCTCGATGTGTAGCCATGATGCAGCTTCGGATCGATCCCAGTCCAAGGCCTCAACGCCCTTGCCTGACAACGTGGAGGCTTTGAGCCGCGTAATTCATAGACATCCCAACATCGTCCTGGATTGCATGTGGCATGCGTGGTTGCGTTGGCGATTCGCGACAAGCTATTCGAGAATTCCAATTTGCGTGGTCCTGTTCTGCTACAATTTGCAATGTCCTCGGCTGCAGAGGAATTAAAATTACCAAGTCCCGTTTGTCACCCTATTGGGGAAGTCGCTGTTGTGGGATATTTCTCTGGTGCAGCCTAAACAAGTGCCGTGTACTTGCAATCCTTGCTTCCAAACAACTCGTCCTCGTCGTCGTCGTCGTCGTCGTCGTCGTTGCCCTCGTCGTTGTGGTGGTGAGAGGAGGAGGGGGAGGACGACGACGAGGCGGAGGCGGAGAAGGAGTACCAATGTAAAACTCGTTACCTTCGCTTGGTGCCAGTCATTTTTCCTTGAGATCTGGCAGAGATAGCAAGTTTTGTCTGGCCGCTCGAAAGTGCTCTTCTCCAGTCTCTCAACCCGTCGTCCCGGGGTGCAGCCAGGATGCTAGCGTCAATGTAACAGCTACCTCGAAAGACCAGCAATCACAGGGGCACAACAACGCATGCAAACCATCCGCTAGAAACAAGATGACACTGCTTGACAGCTTCGAGGCCCAAACTGCTGCAGAACTCCTCATCTCGACCAAATTCGCAGGTGTCCCATTTACCGCAGAAACCTTGGGGGTGATTCACTTCGCCAGCGCCTGTTCCTGACTTCAGAAGTGCAGCCACGAAGCGGCATTGTCGCTTCGGGCCTTCGTCCTCAGAGTGCCGATTGTCGTAGGCATATCGGTTGCCCTGGGCCAACTCCAAGAGGAAACATGACAGCGGAAGACAGCCCGAGTCTCGAAGGCCTGAGGAGCCCGAGGTGAGCGGGATCGTGAGGGGCGCCTGGAGATCAGCCAAGACACCCGGAGAGGTCGAGCACAGCTTGAAATGAAAGCAGCAACTGGACTCAGCGCTTCTTCTATACATGTCTACCGAAGTCTACCGGAGTTCGCCTGAAACCTGCCCCCGTCATGCTCTGCTGCGGCTGGTACTGCACGTACCACAGAGCCAAAAATGCTGCAGAGCGTTGTGCGGGCACTTCCACACAGCACGACTCCCACAAAACGGGTTGGAAGATCCGTGCGATTCTTCGATCTGACGCCATGCGCGTGAAATTACTGCCCAGTTCATCTCCTCACGTGCTACTGAGTCGGATTCATGAATCTGCTGATTGCCCGGCCAGCCAGTCACCCCCGTCCATCCACCCGCTCACCCTGCAGCCAGCCACTCACTCACACACACCCGCCATCTCCTTTCCCTCGCGCTGTCCTCGGCCTCCTCGAGCGAGGCTGCCTCCGTGCGCAGCCGCAGATTCTCGGAGACCAGCTCGTCTCCGCGGCCCACGCAGCCCTGCAGCCTGAGATCCAACACACGACAACCCTGTTGCAACTGCCAAGTGCTTTTGCCGTGGCTGTGCTCCTGGCTCTCGCCCAAGCTCGACGGCCTCGCAGCGGAGGGAGGCACGCTGCACACGCAGCGCCTCCGTCGAGCGGCCTTCGTGCGAAGCTGGCAGAACTATTGCCAAAGCCTAGCTAGCCCGCGCAGCCCGCGCATAAACAAAATCTTGGAAACCCACGCTGGCACGCAGCTTCCTTGCTGAAATTGTCGGCACCTTAAGCAAGGGCTTAGAACATTTAGTGTGCCGTGGGCTAGGTTCATCACATACAGTGTTTCAGTCCATGTCGAGCGGAAGCCAATCGTCAGGAACAAACAAAACATGCCACAACACTGCCAAATGGGCCAGCTAACGCTGAAATTATGACGGAAGTATGGACATGCTCGGAATCTGCGTCAGTGATCACTCCGAGATTGCGGCATGCATTCAGCTCTGCCTGCAGTTGACGGCGCACCGCCAAGCGACTGGAGGATACTGCCTGTGCCTGAACAAAGCCAGTCTCGCATCTGTGAGCACAGGCTCTGCAGCTTATCTACCAGCGACTTTCTATGCTTCTGATCAGGTGGTTCGGCGGATGACAGCATCAGCGACTGGGAAAAGACTATTCCCACCGGTTGTAACGTGCCTGTTGAGAAGCTTATGGCTTCTGACATCGACTGGTGCTGCGACATGGCACATACGGCACATGCCCTGTTTCATGTCCTTGCGCCAGTTGCTGGGCGAGGACGTTCCTTGACCTTGTGGGAAGAGCACCCCTGCTGCCCAAGCAGTCTGTATACCCTCCTTGGTAACGAGCCCGGGCACATTCCGTTAAATGCACGGTAGCTTTTGCTCAGAAGTGAAAGGAACATGATGAACGGCACGAGCCATCATTTCGTGAAATCGCAATGCGCGGAAACGGCTCAACCAACCAACCAACCAACCAACCAACCAACCAACCAACCAACCAACCAACCAACCAACCAAAGCACACCCCCAGCCAACCAACCAACCAACCAACCCACCAACCGACAATTCAATCCAAAACCAATCAGTCCAATCCATCCAGCAATCTGCAAGTATCTTGCAGTCAGCCAACCAATCAAAAATCCAGTTAATCATTCCCGACGGTCAACCCCATCAATCTATCCAATCCAACCCATCCAGTCAATCCTAAACACATTAGTCAGTCAATCAGTGAGCCGGCCAGCCAGCCGGACAGCCAGCCGGACAGCCAGCCAGGCAGGCAGGCAGCAGGCAGTCAGTCAGTCAGCCGGTGCTCAGGGAGTCAGTCAGCCGGTGAGGCAGTCAGTCAACCCGACAACCAAAGAAGCAGCCAACCAACCAACCAACCAACCAACCAACCAACCAACCAACCAAGCAACCAACCAACGCATGAAACAGTCAATCGATCAAATCAACCCAACAATCAGTCAGTCGGCCAGTCAAGCAATCAACCAACAAATCATAAATCAATCAAAGCAACCAGATCATCACACGTACAAAAAATGAGTCAATCAAGCAAGCAATCAATCAATCATTCAATCAATCAAGCAGCCATCTTCAAGCAATCAGCCAGCCAGCCAACCAACCAACCAACCGAGCAATCAACCGATCCAATGATGCCAACCCGACAGTCGTTAAGTCCGCCAAGCAATCAATGTCAGGTATAGCTAGGCATCCATCCATCCCTCCCTCCGTACGTACGTACACGACATACAGACGTGTCGTCTCGAACTCACAGCGATCTGACAATCCTGCCTCGCGGGATTCGGATATTCGGATAGTACTAGTACTAGTACTA